GAAGCAGAATAAATACATCTCAAATTTCTCGAAGTATACTAAGTGTTTTCGACTGAAATTGTTGATTTAAATAAGACTTAAAATGTTAGTCAACTAGCTTAGTGTCTGTTCTTAACCCTTTCCCTTGCAACATATTTCATACCTGATCCCTAACAACTGGATGTAACACACCCGTATACTAATTATATAGGAATAATATTTTATACCTGATCTCTGACAACACCCGTATATCTTTGTGCATTGCCGGATTGGTTGGATTGGTTTGATTTATCGTATTTGTTTTTTGGTGGAATTTTTGATCATACATGAAAACTATTTGTCTGAAATTAAAGTCCCTCTACCATCTGTTTGTAAAAAAACTCACTTACTTACTACTATTGTTCAATGTAATGTCTGTAGAAAAAAAAATTGAACCCCCACAAATTCCACCAAAATACAAATACGATAAATTGAACCAATCCGGCAATGCACAACAACTATCTTGAAGATTATATAGAGTTTCGTTCAAATCCAAAAAACGAAAAGCGAGTAATTACAAAAATATGGACCTCCCGGGTGGATTACACTCAGTTGTCAGGGAAAGGGGCACCCCCCCCTCCACCTACTTTTGCAGAGTAATGCTCAAAGTCAGCTTGCACAATCCTCCCATCTCTTCAATGTATAGTACAACCCTGCACATCCCCCTCTCTCCTATTTATAGTACAGCCCCACCCACTCTTCATCGAAATGCCAATATCCACACGTATACAATGTAAATGTATACAATGTAAATATATCGGCTAAATAATACATAAATGCAAATTTATACATTGTACATGTACATAAACTTTCTGTCATCCTAGATTGTCTCATCATAGATCTTTTCTACGCCCACTGAAGGCTAGAATCCTACATATGCATTAACTCGTATACACACACACTTCACAGTGTATTATGTTATCAAATGGAATGTTGTTTACAAATAAACAATGTGAAATGAATTGGGCATCCTACTTTTTCTGCACCGACTAAACTAGTGAACACAGACATACTGTACATGTGTACACGATTCAGTTACAGGCTATGGAGGAAAGTTGTCTTTTGGCATGCATTCCCGGTTGGACGTGACAAGGAGTAGGGTCGCCTGTCCAACCTTGTGGGTTTTCTCCGGGTGCTCCGGTTTCCTCTCACTGCTAAAGACCCCTACATGCATGCAAATTATTGAAATGAAATTGAACCATATGTTAGTCCCAAAATGACTTAAACCCCATTTGGCATGCACTAAAGAACCTTTGGTACATGTAGATGGAATTCAAAATAAGAGTAGGCTGTCATGTTTCTTTTTGGGCACATTTTTCCTAATCACACACTGCGTGGCATACAACTGTCTTTATTAGCACAGTACATGTAGGTGCAGAATTTTATGATTTTAAGCCCCATTTGATTGAGTTTGGTGTTGTTTTTCTCCTGCATGTAGGTTTCTCCATACTGACTGACACCGAGTGTTGTAGATTACCAGGTACTCCATATTGACTGACTAACACAGACAGAATAACTCAATATATTGATGTAGCCGAGGCCCTACATCTACAACAATAAAATCAATCGTATTAAATGTTAAACCGACTGATTGGCATTTTACCCTGATGGTGTTATGTGGGATCTGGGATCTAATTGCTGCTTGCATTCTCCTCTCCAATCTGATTTAAACACATATCCTTTTTTGTTTCGTTTTTTTATAATTCAAAATTTCGATTTACTTGTCTTTACTACACTAGGATCTGGAAGAGTTGTTATATTACCGGCGTTTTGGTTGAAGTGAGGGATAAGCCAATGAAACGGTCTGTTACAGTCACTTCTTGGCGTACCATGCACAGAACTGTGGGTAAACCCCTAGAAACGTCAACGCTGATTGATTAATCAATTCGATTCTGATGTCATAGGGTCAAAAGCTGCTCATACGACCCCTGACATGACCTTCGAGTACAATTTGTCAGATCTTCATGTAGTGTAGGCCATCAAAAGTATAAAAAAAAATAAAATGAAATATAGATCTGTATTTTAATCAGATTGTCGCGTCTCAGGATCTGCTGTGCTTCAGTGACTAAGACGTTAGTTTCCTAAATTGGAGATCCCAGTGGTTGTGATCCCTGTGTTGCCCGAATAGATCCTGGGGAATTACTGGCGTGGTTCCCCCTTCTCATTGGTGCAGAACGGAGAACCTAGCAAGGATGGGATGGAAAACAGAGGTCTAACGTAAAGAACCCTTGAAAGTTGGAATTATGTAGGTTGTAGTGCCATTGTCTAGTTCAAAAATTTCCTTCATAGCACTCAACATAAGGTAAGCGCGTCTTTATTAGCCCGTCTTCATTATCCTGTTTTCATTAGCCGTCTTCATTAGCCCAGATGGCGCAGATACATGTAAGTAGGTCGTGAACCACCATTTTTAAGTACTTTAAATAATTAGGCAAGAGCTAAATCTGCCTATTGCAGATCTTTCTTTAGGCCTTGGGGGTTGGATGGCCAAATGGTTAGCACGTGCGCACTGTATCATACGGTCTGTCATTGAGTCAACCCGCGTGGTTTTAATTCTCCAGGTCCTCGGGTTTCCTCCCACATCTAAGCGCAAGCGATTTATTGAAATATAATTAAACCATATATGTGTTAAATGTGAAAATAAAACCTTGAAATACATGCTGATATCTCAACACATAGTCCTATCTAAATTCTATAATTCATTTGTCTCAGTTGAGAAATTGGCAAGAGAGAGAGAGAAATGGGGTTTAACGTCCACTCGACACAAACTAGGTCATTTCGGGACTAACATGTGGTTTAATTTTATTCCAATAATTTGCTTGCGCGTAGGGGTCGTTATCTATTTTTTAACTATTATAGCAAAAACTGTCAGCCCTTTATCTAGTCACCAATAATACCCCTTTTATTACTGAGATAATTATATCCTAATGATCTGGGTAATGATTTACATGGGTAATGAAATCTGCTGAAATAATTAACATATTAATACTTTCTTTTGTACTAGGGGTGGGGGTTAGATGGCCCAATGTTGCGTCATAAGTCAACTGGTGTGGTTTCGATTTCCCGGTTGAACGTGACAAGGAGTAGGGTCGTCTGTCCAACCTCGTGGGTTTTCTCCAGGTCCTCTGGTATCCTCCCGCTGATAAAGAACCCTACGCTCATTCGAATTATTGAAATAAAATAGAACATGTTAGTTCCGAAATGACCTCTCTATCTCCCTCTCTCTCTTTTGTACTCGCATATATACAGTATGGTGCCTCTCATTTTATTTCTTAATAATATGTTAGGTACATGTAAGACAGAACTGATAACATTAATTATTAATAAAGATATGTACATGCATGTAGCCCGTAGGCCCATTTGACATATTCCAGGTTTATAATCTTATAAACTGGAAACATGTTAATTTAACTGTCTTATTACATCTGATTGATTACCTACTTGACATTCATAACTATTACATGTATATGTGGGTGTATATACCATACTTTAAGGTTGTTTTTTTCTGCACTTTTGATCACAAGGTCTGTCATTATTAATATAGATACATGTATATGTGGGCGGATTTAGATCACAGAGTCTGTCAAGTAAGTAAGGTCACCTATCTAAGATCATAGGTTTTCACCGGGTCTGTTAATTATTGAAATTAAACATACATTATGCAAGAGCTACATGTAAATCTGCCTATTGCAGGTCTTTCTTCAGGCCTGAAATGTTATCTAAATTATTAATTAGACATTAATAAACTTCTCCAGACCATAATCAACTCCCTATGTCAATGCTAGCCTGCAATATTTACTGGATTAAGATACCATTTGCTGCTCCACTTTCATTCTTAATTTAATCATGAAATGGATAATCTAGACTATGTTTTTTGTCACATCGACTTTAGTAATGAGGATTGAAGCTAGACCGAAAGTTCAATCACTAAAATCTTGATTCAGAGTGGATCAATTTGACTGAAATTTTCAGCAAATTACCTTTACATTATCTAGTTTTTAACTATTATAGTGAGAACTGCCAGCTCATTATCTAATCTCCCATAATGTATCTTTAAAGTGAAGCATATGTTAGTCCTGAAATTACCTCTGTTTCTTGAATATAAAGTTTTTGTGTTTGATCCTACCGCCTTTAGGCCATGAAGAGACAAGCAATTTGATTAGCTGAGATTGGCACAAATAATCTGCTTCTAATTGAGGGCTTGTGGTGAAACTTTGTGTATAGTTTTATTACACGTACATCAATACCGTGACTAAGTTAGATACTGAACAGGTTATACAGAGTGATAAACAATTTGATTACTGGATGCTTTACAAAACGATAAAATTGTAATTAATGAGCTTCATACATATATTGACGGATTGAAGCAAGGGACGTCAAATTCACTGTTTCCTGATTTTAATTTTAAATATATTGAATAAAAATTTGTGTTAGATTAAGATAAAGGCTAGAACTGGGCCCTGATGTTCCATGTTAATGCATCAAATTCTCAGGATATACTCTTTGGTTTCTGGAGCCATGGTGGTTAAGTGAGTAATGTTCTGCCGTTCTGTTCCAATGGGGCTAATGAAGACGGGCATACGTCGTACAGTGTGCTACATGTATGAGGGAAATTTTGCCTGGACAGCAGCGCTACAGCCTACTCTTATATCGAATTCCAACTGCAATGGGATCTTTTATGTGCATACCAATGTGTATACGGGACTGCAGTTTTTTGTCCCATATGAATGACTAGACAGCTGTCTTTATCAGACCCTCAGTCCTGCACCACTGACAAGTGTAAACCACGACGGAAAATCCCAATGAACTTTTGTCAGTCAACACCGGGATCGAACCCGCGATCTTCAGGCTGGCGGGCCAGCATCTTACTCACTTAGCAGTACAGATTTAGGTTGTACTTGTGGTTTATTCGTCTTCAGCTGGGTTAAAATACCTTTTATCATATGATTTATAATGTTTATAATTTGTATTTTTATGTTTTTCAGCCTGATCATATGTTTAAACCATGGATGGAAGAATTCACAAAAGTAAGTAAAAAAAAATCTTGTTAATAGAAGTGATACAAGGTGTTCGTGAAGGTGAATCGTGATATATCAATTCAACGATATATCGTGCCAACACTAGCGTGAAATAAAACAGAAACTTTGGCAGTTGGAATATTAAGAAGCTTTGGCTAAAATGCCTCTCTCTGGGCAAATTTGCACTCCATTCATTGTAGGCCTACATATTATTCAGGGGGATTTCACACCACTGTAGGCCTGCATGTATAAAATGAAATGGGGTTTAACTTCCTACTGTTCTTCACCGAATGGGCTAATGAAGACAGGTATACAGTTTGCTGTGAGCGACAGTCAGCAGCACTACATGTATTTTGAATTCCAACTATCAAGGGGTCTTTTACGTGCAGGGGGTTGAATGGCCGAATGGTTAGCGCACTGTATCATACGGTCTGTTATTGAGTCAACTGGCGGGGTTTCAATTCCTCGATTGTACGTGACAAAGAGTAATATCGCCTGTCCAACCTTGTGGGTTTTCTCAGGGTCCTCTGATTTCCTCCCACTGCTAAAGACCCCTACACGCAAGCGAAATATTGAAATAAAATTGAACCATGTGTTAGTCCCGAAATGAGCTAATTTGTATCGAGTGGACGTTAAAACCTCATTTCTCTCTCTCTCTTACGTGCCCGCCACAGTGTACATGGAGTATCTGGAAAATAGTCAATACAATTAATTTACAAGTTTCAGTAAAAAACAAATGAATTGATTGCACTTTAGATTGTCTAAACAACCTTCATGGGATCAACATGTGTTTATCTAGTAATCAAAATGTGTTTCTTGTAACCGACAAAAAAACCGAAATACAATCATTTTTCTTTATTTCTATCATCCAGCCTGATTAAAATCGCTACGTAATTATCTCCCCAAGCAATGTTAAAGGGATTGGTTAAAGTTGCTCTTTAGATCGTAAGGTCCTTGAGTTCTGTCATTCAGCCTGATTGAAATTGCTATGTAATTATCTCCACCCAAAAATGTTAAAGGGATTGGTTCAAGTTGCTCTATAGATCACAAGGTCTGTCATTGAGGCAAGTGATGTGGTTTTGATTCAAAGCTTATACGTGACAAGTCCGGTTTCGTTCGTTCATTTCTGGGGTTTTACGTCCACTTCCACCTAAGGTGATATCGTAGACATGGCAAGTCCGGTTATCAGTCTTTACTAATGTATAATGAATTCAAAATTTTTTACCATTCAGCATCTAATCAATCTGGTTAAAACACAGATCCTATTTCGTTTCGTTTTTATAGTTCAAAATTTTGTTTTACTTGTCTTTACTACACTAGGATCTGGAAGAGTTGTTAGTTAAATCGTGTTCTGAATGGTGTCAGGGATAAGCCAATAAAATGGTCTGTTACGGCAAGCTTTAGGCATGTTTTGCACGGAACTGTGGGTAATCCACTAGTAACATCAAAGCTGATTGGTTAATCAAATGTCTGACGTCATGGGGTCAAAAGTCGGTCTTTTGACCCCTGACGTGACCTATCGCTATAACTTGTCAGATCTTCATGTAGTGTAGGCCATCGATAGTATAAAAAAAACAAAACGAAATATAGATCTGTATTTTAATCAGATTGTCATCTAATACATTTAGGTCTGTTTTTAATCCCAGGGGTTTGCTTGCCGAAGGGTTTAATGCATGTGGATTAGATCAGTTGGTCTTTCATTGAGTCTGGGGGGTGGGGGGGATGGCTGAATGGTTAGCGTGCGCGCGCTGTATCATAAAGTCTGTCATTGAGTCGACTGGCGTGGTTTCGAATACCCGGTTGTACGTGACAAGGAGTAGGGTCGCCTGTTCAACCACTGCTAAAGACCCCTACGCGCAAATGAATTATTGAAATAAAATTAAACCATATGTTAGTCCCGAAATGACCTAGTATTTGTCGAGTGGACGTTAAACCCCATCTCTCTCGCTCTCTCTCTGTCATTGAGTCAAGTGGCATCTTTTTGATTCCCTGCTTTTATGTGACAAAGTACATGTAGGGTTGCATGTCAGACCTTTTTGAACATGCAACTACAAATTGCTTTTTTTAAAGATGAACTTAAATCATTCAATTTATTACTTGACTAAATTCACCTCAATTTCTTACCAAGATCTATTTTATTTATTAACAGGAACCATATGTATCCCCTTCCATTTCTTTGGCAAAATTTATTCTATTTAAATCGAAGACAGCCCTAAAATAATCACTAAAATGAGCAAACGTTCTTCTGCTTCTATTACCGGTAATACTTGAAATATGCCAGTTAATACATCAAGTCTGAACCGAGGTATATAGCGATCAAACAATGTTCTGGGTGAAACGTTTTAGATTCATGAAACTTTAAACCAAGGGTCTCAAGAAGAACGGCCATGAAAAGACTACCAATCACTTGGTTGCTATATACCAGTGGAACCATCTAAGATGATGCTAAGTGGAACGAATCTAGAAAGAATCATTAAGAAATTACTGGTTAACTTTTATCTGATTTGTTTGAAGAGAACGTTTTCTTGAGAGGTTAATTATCCATAATGTGACTAGATCTAGATATAATTATATTTATTACATTGTGGGTTTAACCTTCAAATTGACATTCAATTAATCTCTATTTGAATTTATCTTTGTCAATTTCATCTTTACAAAAACAGTGTCTAATCCTTCGGATGGGACCAAAAACATTGGCTGGCATCCACTTAAATGGTAAAATGTTTATTTTGTCTTAAATATTGGATATCAGAAGCCCATCTTTTCCCAGTAAGATCACAACATCAATGTTGATTTTAATTGACAAATAGTTAGTGTTTTCAATGTCAAAGACTTTGGATGATATTAAGTTAGAGACATAGCTACTTTAAATATTAAACATGCATTAGTTAGGAGTTTAATAAAGAGTTGGTCATTCTAGCTATAATAATTCAAAAATAGATGATAAAAAAAGAAAATATTGAAAATTTCATTCAAATTACTTCATTCTCAGCCAAGTTATCATTGTTTTTAGTTTTGACAAGATGTGTGCACAGTGGTAACCAGCGCACTGGTATAATCGGAACTTAGCCTCGCTTTCCCATTTTTAAATTAAATTTTTAAATGGCGAACCGTTTTAATCTAGTTAAAATCTTGAGTATCCTATGCCATCGAGAGTCGATTATGGTCTCGTTTTGTTAATAAATGTCTAATTCATAGGCAGATTTAGCTCTCGTGCATAATGTATGTTTAAATAATCAATTACATTTTAGAGCTCTTTAAATATGCTTTATGCAAGAGCTAAATATACCCATTGCAGGTCTTTCCTTATACTAGGTTTCCACTATCAAAATTCAAACAACGACTGAAATCGTGGTTTAATTGTGGAGTAATCGTGGTGATCCTATCAAGTCTTATCATATGTTGAGGTCAGTTGTAGCAATTGCGTTGATCGTATCTGAACATATCTGTACATACCAGATCAGAGACTTAAGACTTAATAGGGGAATCCTATCATAAATCATCATACTACAGTGGGAACCTAGAGGGCTGAAATGTTTTATACAAATTATTAATTAGACATTAATTAGTTTATCAAGACCATAATTGACTCTTGATACCATTGGATGGCTCCGATATTTAGTAGATTGGAATACGTTTTTTGATTGAAATAACCGTAAATATGAATAATCAAGACTTTGTTTAATATCGTAACAATGGTAGTAATGACAATCAAGGCTAGACAAAAATTGTATCGTCTATAGCTTGGCTCAGGGTTAAGTAATTTGACTGAAGTATTTTAACTATTATAGCGAGAACTGTCAACTCTAATGTCACTTTAACTCCTAGTCCTATTTATAATTCAAGATGTTAATGTCAGCTTTTTATCTAAATCTTACCTAATGCATCTTTAACCTGTGAAAAATACAAATGCTGATCAGTAGTTTTAAACTCAACAATCGTAAAAAAATAAAATACATTAAAATAATAAAAAAATGATAATTATTCCCTGAAGGTTAGAATTTTTTTTTTAAAATGTGCTTTATTCGAGCAGAAGTTCAAAGTACATGTACTTATAAGCCGGGGAGAGAGAGAGAGGGAGAGAGAGAGAGAGAGAGAGAGAGAGAGAGAGACCCTTTGACCCAGAGAAAACTCATGAGGTAGGACAGGTGACCTTACTCCTTGTCACGTACAAGCGGGGAATCGAAACCACGTCACCTTCCTCAATGACAGACCTTATGATACAACATGCACAGGTGAATCATTCGGCTACCCAAGCCCCCTTATAAAATTGTAATAAGTCCATTCAACCAGAATAATTTTTTATCATAATAATTATCTGCTTTTAATCATGCTAATTGTAGAATGTATAGTAATTTTGAAATTCTATATAACCAGTTTACACTGTAACCCACGTATCATTTAATCTTGTGTATTTAGCACTAATTTATTTCACATTCATTCATTTCATTTCACTTTCAGGGGGGTTGGGTGGCCGAATGGTTAGCACGTGCATGCTGTATCATAAAGCCTGTCATTGAGTCAACTGGCGTGGTTTCGAATCCCCGGTTGAACGTGACAAGGAGTAGGGTCGCCTGTCCAACCTCGTGGGTTTTCTCCGGGTCCTCCAGTTTCCTCCCACTGCTAAAGACCCCTACGCGCATGCGAATTATTGAAATAAAATTAAACCATATGTTGGTCCCGAAATGACCTAGTTTGTATTGAGTGGATGTTAAACCCCATTTCTCTCTCTCTATTTTACTTTCATAGTTCTAGTTTTAGACGTGATTGGTTTTTTTTTTATAGATTAATAACAAGATTGCTACTTTTTCTTTCAGAGTATTACGAAATTAGAACCAGGTCTAATAGCCATTCATTGTCAAGAAGTTGGAGGGAAAAATTACGAAGCCTCCATGCAGCATGTTAATCAATTTATAAAGTAAGATTTTCGTTTTTCTACTTCACCAATTTCTGATACATGATTTTCAAATTACGTCAAGATGATTGTGCCGCAAGCTAAACTGAAATCCTATAGGGATAAAGCCTTCAATGTCTGTGGAATAACTTTGGAGATGCAGAGTTCTCAAACATTAGCTGTAATCAAATCCAAACTCAAAACTCATTTGTTGGTTACCGGTAGTTATTATCAGGATTAGCTATTATCTTCCATGCGCTTAGAGCATGCAATACGGACGGAGTGAGCACAATAATAAATATACATTATTATTGTGATTGGCCATTAAACAGAATTAACATATACTTACATGTACATGTATGGGTGAACCGCTCTGTGTATTTATTTATTTGGGCAACGTTTTAAGGGTTGTTATAGTTTATTATTTTATCCCGTTACTAAATGTCTCTAATAGATTAAAACTAGATAGGTTTCATTATCACCTCCACCCCATCCCCCCATCATCATCATAATCATCATCATCATCACCTCCTCCATCCCCATCGTCATCATCATCCGTCTATTTATATCAGGGGAGTTGGGTGGCCGAATGGTTAGCATGTGTGTGCTGTATCATATGGCCTGTCATTGAGTCAACTGGCGTGGTTTTGAATCCCTGGTTGTATGTGACAAGGAGTAGGGTCGCCTGTCCAACCTCGTGGGTTTTCTCCGGGTCCTCCGGTTTCCTCCCACTGCCAAAAGACCCCTACCCGCAAGCAAATTATTGAAAAAAAATTAAACCATATGTTAGTCCCGAAATGACCTAGTTTGTGTCGAGTGGACGTGGACGTTAAACCCCATTTCTCTCTCTCTCTCCATTGTAGCATTAGAGGAATCACTTGCAAACTATATCACTGTAACTTGGGTATCATTTAATCTTGTGAATCTGGCACTAGTAATATCAAATCTTTGTTTAAAATTTGTGAAAAACCGTTTAAAATCACCAAAAATCATCCAATTTGTACTTGTGTCCAGTTTAAAGCTGACCATTCAGTTTTGATAATGAATCTCCAATTTACAAACATTTAATTTCTTGATAGTTTAGTCACAAATGTCAATGGCACATCATTAATGTTAATTCATCTTTGATATAAGAGTAGGCCGTAGCGCTGCTCTCCGGAGAAAATTTCCCTCATAGCACACTGTGTGGCGCTCCTCCGTCTTCGTTAACCTAGTTGGAGCAGAACAGTAGACCATTAAACCCCATTTCATTTCTGTATTTTAAGTATCAACCTCAACCAGTAATATCAAAGTTATAATAATACATTTTTTTTTAATAAAATAAATTTCTCTAATTAATAATAATTTGTAATGTTTATTTCTTGGATTATTATTTATAGAATAATTCTTGGGTGTGAAGAAATGCAGAAATACGATCGAGCCCGAGTATTTTTAGATGAGGACTATACTGCAGCTGATAAATTCACGGTAAATAGTATTTTATTTTAAAAACAAAATGGAGATGTTTCTCAGGGTTTTGATGCTAGAATGAAAATGCCTGACAAGGACAGCGCCTAGTCTATCTGACTTGGCAGAAAAAAACTAAGTCCTGTGTACACAGTAGTGTGCATGTAAAAGAACCCTTATCAGTTGGAATTAAATTTCTCTCATAGCACCCTGTATAACACTTACCTGTCTTCATTAGCCCCCGTCTTCATTAGCCCAGTCGGAGCAGAACAGTAAGACATTAACGCCATTTCATTAACCCATTTGAAGCAGAACAGTAAGACATTAACCCCATTTCATTAGCCCAGTTGGAGCTGAACAGTAAAACGTTAAACCCCATTTCATAAGCCCAGTTAGTGCAGAACAGTAGGATGTTAAACCACATTTCATTATTCACTCCTTACATGTATATTACCCAGCAAAATGTCCGCCTCCATTAGCAAGCCAGTGGAATGTAGAAAACATGTTGCAGTGTAAATGTCAGCAACATTCATTTAAAAAATCCCAAATCTAGTTTTAATTTGATTTCAAAAAAGAATTGCATGAAAATATTTTTCATTTTTCACAGTCTGACACATTATCAGCAATTTGCTGATTGACATTTAAATGTTGAGATCAAATAGTCAATTAACCCTTTGTACTTTTATTTTATTTGTGAGTGATGACCGACAGTAATGATATAATTATTAATCCATGGATGATAACAACAACTATAGGTCAGAATAATAATTTTAGACATGTATTTACCAGATAAAATGTTGAGTGTTATTGACATCTTTAACTTTGTGACAAACATATTCTTATCGGAAATAAGTGGAGAGCCATGATGGCTAAGTGGGTAAGATGCTGACTCGCTAGCCTGGAGGTTGCGTGTTCGATCCCTGCATTGTCCGAGAAAGTTCATCGGGATTTTTCGGCGTGGTTTGCCCTTGTCAGTGGTGCAGAACGGAGGGTCTGACAAGGACAGCTGTCTCGTTGTTTGGATGGGACGAAAAACTGAGGTTTCGTATATATTGGCAGTTGAAATTCAATGTAAGAGTAGGCCATAGTGCAAAATTTTCCTCATGATAAAATATATGGCGTATGTCTGTCTTCATTAGCCTAGCGGAAGCTGAACAATAGGACGTTCGTAAAACCCCATTTCATTTCATTTCTTAAATAAGTGACTTCCAGTTGTAAATCAAAATTGAAATCAACTTGCTAATGTGTTTGTATATATTCTCTGCCATTGCTATTGTAAAAGTCAACTCATCACCAACTACGGTATTTCATTTCGGGACCAACATATGGTTCAATTTATTTCAATACATGTAATTCACCTCCGTGTAGGGGTCTTTGGCATTGGGAGGAAACTGTAGGACCTTGAAAAACCCCACAATTTTGAATAGAAGACCCTACTTCTTGTCCGGTACAAGCAGGGAGTCGAAACCAAGCTAATTGATTCAATGATAGAACTTCTGATCTAACGTGCACATGTTACATCATCCTAAATTTAAATAAAATGGGGTTTTACCTGCTACTTTTCTGCACAAGCCCTACTAATGAAGATGAATAACTTCTAGGACTGTCAAAAAACATTGCTATATCGATATACATGTATTGCAATACGATCATCTGCGATACACTGTATGGATGCATTTTTGCCGTATCGATATTTTTCTACTTTTATTTTATATTCAAATTTTAGCTAGACTGTTTATAAAGACTTCGTAATCAGTCATATTATTTAGATTTTGCAGTAAACAATAAGTCTGCAAAGACAAGACCAAAGTTGTAAAAACATATAAAAAGAAATGTTTATTCACATAATTCAGTCATATTATAGGTTTTGCAGTAAACAATAAGTGTCCAAGACCAAAATAAAACTATTCAAAATAAAACTGTGCTTGGTGATAAACCCTGACTTTATCGAAGTGTTACAATACTACAATATATTGCAATACTTTCTGTCAAGTATCGTAATATATTGCAATAAGATTTTTGGCCGCAATACACAGCCCTAATAACTTCTATATATAATTTGTCGCAGTCCCAGTAGATACACAGTTGCCCCCCCCCCCTCCCCGTCTTCTGCAAATCAGTTTAACTTCCACTACCAGATTCAAATGGTTGAAATATTGAATGAATTAGAACTCCAATCCCTTGTACCATTTAATAATTCAACGTTGAAATGGATAATCAATACTTTGTTTATTATCGTAGCTCTAGTACTTCGCAGGCAAAACAATCTTGTCAAAACATCGAACTTTCATTCGAATATACCTAATAATTCACTGTTAATGAATTTGTGTAATTATGGAAATTATGCCTTGACAGCCTATAAACAAATCAAGTCAAATATTATCCTATTTTAGTCAAGAAATTGCCCCAGGGAGGGTGTAATTGCCTGGATTACTTCCACACCCTGGAAACTTATAAACCAGTGTTTCTCAGTCATTCTTGACCTAAAGATCTGTCATTGTGTTAAGTGGTGTGGTTTCGATTCCCTGCTTGTATGTGACAAGGAGTAGGATTGCTTTTCCAACCTTGTGGCTTTTCTCCGGGTTCTAAAAACCACTACCCACAAACAAATACCAGTAATTTAATTAAAATTTAACGATTAGTCCTGATTAGTTTGTGTCCAGTGGGTGTTAAAGAGAGAGAGAGAGAGAAGTGGGGTTTAACGTCCACTCGACACAAACTAGGTCATTTCGGGACTAACATATGGGAGGAAACCGGAGGACCCGGAGAAAACCCACGAGGTTGGACAGGCGACCCTACTCCTTGCCACGTACAACCGGGGATTCGAAACCACGCCAGTCGACTCAATGACAGACTTTACGATACAGCGTGCGCACGCTAACCATTCAGCCATCCAACCCCCCCAGTGGGTGTTAAACCCCATCTTTCTCTCACTCACCCTCTATCTCTCTCATTCTCTCTTGGTTCAGAAGCAGTGTAATTAATTATTTTGTTAGGAAATGTACTGTACAATATTGACTGACAGAAAGTGAAATAAAAAGTGATTAGTTTGAATTCTAAGACATGTACATATGCATTCTTGATAAGCTGCCAGCTTCTTTGTCTATTTTTACGAGCAGTGAAGAAAATTTCATTAGTAATGGTTATAATTAGCAAATTGACTGACATGTTTGTTTTCTTGAAGTGATAAATTAAAATTAAAGCTCCTAAACTTGCCAGAAATGAAATTGAATGGGGTTTAGCTGCTGTTCTGCATCAATAAGACTAATGAAGATGGACATGAGGGAAATTTTGTCATGAAATGAAATGAAATGGGGTTTAACGTCCTACTGTTCTGCTCCGAACTGGGCTAATGAAAACAGGCATACGCCAAACAGTGTTCTATGAGGGAAATTTTGCCCGGACAGCGGCACTTCGGCCTACTCTTATATCGAATTCCAACTGTCAAGGGATCTTTTACGTGCACACCAATGTGTACATGGGACCTCGGTTTTTCGTCCCATCTGAACGACTAAACAGGTATCCTTGTCAGGGCCTCTGTCCTGCATCACTGACAAAGGAGAACCACACTGGAAAATCTGAATGAATTTTCTCTGCCAATGCAGGGATCGAACACCCGACCTCCAGGCTAGCGAGCCAGCGTGTTACGCACTTAAAAATTTTGTCATACATGTAAGAGCTGTGCTTCAACCTTACTGTTACATTGAATTCAAAATGTCAAGGATACACAGGATCTTGGTGTGTCGTCCTTTCAGACACAAATGAAATAAAAAATTAAATGGGGTTTAACGTCCTACTATTCTGAACTGACTAGGTTAATGAAGACGAGCATATGCCTTGCAGTGTGCTAGAGGGACGTTTTGCCCAGACAATGTCCATAGGGATTCCCACAGCATGTTATAGTATGGCACCACACCATACCCCTTTTCAAGAGAATTATTTAAAATGAATATTTACTGACCATCGATTCATTTCATTAAAACATGTTCTAAACTGAAGATACAGTCTGAATTGATTTTTACAACTGAAATCATTTAGAATGTTTTGAAATGGGTTTTATTTTATTGAGCTGTATTTTAACAAAGACTGGACCTGGTTGGTTTTTATAAATTACTAGCAATATTGCTAGTTTAACACAGCTCAACAATGTTTTAATATTGATTAGAAACTGTGTCTTTAAAGGAGCTGGATCTCTATTCTTTGGCACCTAGAAATTGACAAAAAAGGTGAGCAGTGCATGTAATGTGAATGTATATAAACTGATTTACATTCAATCGTTTCTGGTTTTACTGTAATTTCCAATGTTCGGCGAAATACGCGAAGAGTGAATGGCAGTCTTACATGTAGGTGTCTGGTTATTATTTCAGTCTACACTGGTAGTATTATTGTGTGTGGTATGTTTAACCTCGTTCATCGAGGTGCTTCATTACAAATGGCACCCGAAAGCATTCTGGCATGCAATTCGTCTGCCAATTTTAAAATGTTCATTTTGTCTTGAATATTGGATATCAGAAGCCAATCTTTTCTCGTTAAGATAACAACATCAATGTTGATTTAAATTGACCAATAAATCGTGTTTGCAATGTCGAAGACTGTGGATGATATTGAGTTAGAGACTTGCCTCCTTTAATAAATATTCTCTCCATGTTCATATATCAATATCATACACTTGAGATAATCAATATCGTTAACAAACCTGTCAATCAATGGCCGAGAGGTCCAGGGGGATCAGTCATGGCATTCATACAGGTTTCCATTCCATATCTTCCTGTTGTATCATTTGATTAAATATGGGAAATATGGATTCTGTATGGTACATGTAGATCGATCCATTTGCACAAGACGAACAATTTTATGTTTGACCAGCAAAAGATCCACAGACATTAAAGTGTCTGGACTTCATTTTTCAGAAAAGCATTGAATTTCTCACGGTTTAGTCCAAACTTTTAAATCTACTCAAAATAGATTATTTTACATTAAATTAAAGATACTATATGCAAAAGATAAATCTGCCTATTGCA